AATAAATATAATCAACACAATTAAGTGAAACATAGTTATGATTATTTGAATAATAAGCTAAAATGCAATAATTTAACTATAATAATATTTTTTTGGTTGTCAATTTAATTATAATAACAAATACAACTGTTGCTTAATGATAATATAAAATAAGTCAATTAAGTGAAATACAGTTATAATGACTAACTGAAATAACGAATTGAATAAAGATTTACTGAGAGAAAGAAAACAATCATTGTTTATTGATCCAAACTCATAAAAACGATAGATAAATACAACTAAATCAAACTAATTAGAATACTATTACTGCAAATTATTATTCATGCCTCTTATTTATTTATGGAAAATGATTAACAAATTATTTTTGTGTACATTTTTTCATATAACCTCACATGTCATTTAATAATTAACTCTTTTTATTCTACTTAAAACTCGTGATATTGTATATCTGTACTTATTTAATGATATGTAAAAATATAAAAAATTTATGAAAAGAATTATATGGATATTGTTACCCTTTATTTATCAAAATTGCAATAGAATATGAAAAAAAAATAGAAATTTTAATTATAAATGGCATACAATCATAGGTTACCAATTTTTGTAATTTTATTTTCAAAATAAACAAAATATTGAAGTTGGCCTAAAAAACAAGAAAAAAATGAAAATTAAATTACTAATATGAAATGGTGAAAACCTTTTATCATTATTTTTTGTTGGTCTTACAACAGGAAATCATAGGAAGAAAAACAAACAAAGAAAGATTAGATTATGTCGTTGAAATCTTTTTATAAGTCTAAAAAAGTTAATTTTTTTGAATTTATCATATGATAATACGAGAAGTGCATCCATAAAATAATCAAGAAGAAATCAGTATTGTGGTTGTGTAAACTAGTTAAGGACAATCCATCTATTTAAACAAAAAGAAAAAAAATGTGTTTTTAATAATGAAATCTTATTATCCTGAAGCAATTTTTATTTTGTTTTTAATTTGAATGACAATGTAATATTATAGATATATTTATTTGATATTATATGGATATTTTAAGATTCTATTGCCAAAAAAACAATATCACAAGAAATTATATATTTATAATTAATATTATTAAATTAATAAATATATATAATATCATATATATAATATATCAAATTGTATTATAATTAGAGGTTAGTGTATATCAATTTTGATTTTAAAAAATAATTAAAGTTTTAATTTATATTTAAAAACTAAAATCTCATCTTATTAAATGTTGATATTTAAATTTGAAAACTCATTATATATTCTAATATAATTAATTTTTAAATTTAAATATTATCTTTTAATAAGATAATTTTTTAAATTTTAAATGAGTTTCAATTAAATAAAATGATATAGTTTTAATGATAGAATTCTAACTATTTTTTGGAGTTGAGATTGATATACATTTTTTTTTCTTATAATTATAACATTTCTATTTATAAATAAAAATACAAACTTTAAATTTTTATATATTTAAGGATTTATTAAATAGTGATAATAATATGATAAATAATAATTTCAATCAAAATAGGGTAAATTTTGTATCTTTATATAAAAAATATGTTAAATTTTATATTTTTCAATAGAAAAGTGTAAAAAATTTATCACCTATTTTAAACATATAAAATATTCATATTTTTTAAAAAATGATAAATTTTGTATTATTATATCAATTTTTAAGGAAAAAAATATAAATTTCTTTTTTTAAAATAATAAGAGTTTTAATTTTAAATTATTTTATTTTATTTAATTAAAATTCAATTTAAAAATTAAAAATTTATAATATTAAATATTAATATTTAAACTTAAAAATTGATGAAAATTTTAAATTTTAAATTAAAATTTCAAATTTTAAATATATTTCTTCTGAGTCTCGTTCTATGCTAGGGATTGTACATTTGACTTTGACTCAGATGTAGAACGGTTAATGGTGAGATAGGTTGTAGAAGATGATGACCATAGAGACGCGGTTTTGGCACGTAGCAAGATCTACGAAGTCGGATGCGTATGATTGTAGGAAGCCAAGGTGTCGGTGGTTCTGATGTCTACGGCCCGTGGATCCGGGGAACCGAGGCGTTAATTGGTGCGGAGAACGGGGCCCGCTTGATCGAAAAATCTAGGACGTTGACTGACGTTTTTTTTTTTTT